CATGACTTTCAAGAAGGAGCCGGCGGCGTCGGCGGCCTTCCCGGCGCAGAGGACCTCCTGGGGCTTCCTGCAGTCCCTGGTGAGCATCAAGCAGGAGAAGCCCGCCGAACCCGACGAGCCGCAGCCCCACCACCACCACTACGGGGGCCTCTTCGCCGGGGCCGAGGAGCGACCCCCGGGCCTGGGCGGCGGCGAGGGGGGCGGCCACGGCGTCATCCAGGACCTCAGTATTCTCCATCAGCACGCCCAGCAGCAGCAGCCTGCCCAGCACCCCCGCGACGTGCTGCTCGGCGGCGGCAGCAGGACTGATGACCACCCCGGCACCGAGGAGCCAAAGCAGGACACTCACGTCAAGAAGGCGAAGAGGCCAAAGCCGGAATCTCAGGGAATCAAAGCCAAGAGGAAGCCCAGCGCATCTTCCAGACCTTCTCTGGTCGGAGACGGAGAAGGCGCCATCCTCTCCCCGAGTCAGAAACCTCATATCTGCGATCACTGTAGCGCTGCTTTCAGAAGCTCCTATCACCTGCGGAGGCACGTCCTCATCCACACGGGAGAGAGGCCCTTCCAGTGCAGCCAGTGCAGCATGGGCTTCATTCAGAAATACCTGCTGCAGAGACACGAGAAGATCCACAGTCGGGAGAAGCCATTCGGATGCGATCAGTGCAGCATGAAATTCATCCAGAAGTACCACATGGAGAGACACAAGAGGACGCACAGTGGAGAAAAGCCATACAAGTGTGACACTTGCCAGCAGTATTTCTCAAGGACGGATAGGCTGTTGAAGCACAGGCGCACGTGTGGTGAAGCCATAGCGAAAGGAGCCGCCAGTGCAGAACCTGGGTCATCAAACCATAACAACATGGGTAATCTGGCTGTGTTGTCTCAGGGAAATACAAGTTCTTCAAGGAGGAAAACGAAGTCAAAAAGCATAGCTGTTGAAAATAAGGAACACAAGACTGGTAAAACAAATGAATCACCAATTTCCAATAATATCAACATGCAGAGCTACTCCGTAGAAATGCCTACTGCGTCTTCCAGCGGAGGCATAATTGGCACTGGGATAGATGAATTGCAGAAAAGGGTGCCAAAACTGATCTTTAAGAAAGGAAGCAGAAAGAGTACAGATAAAAGCTACCTTAATTTTGTGTCACCATTGCCAGACATAGTTGGACAGAAGTCCTTGTCTGGGAAACCAAGTGGCTCACTTGGCATAGTATCGAATAATAGTGTGGAGACCATTAGTCTTCTCCAAAGTACAAGTGGAAAACAAGGTCAAATAAGTAGTAATTATGATGACGCCATGCAGTTTTCAAAGAAAAGAAGATATTTACCAACTGCCAGCAGCAACAGTGCCTTTTCCATAAATGTGGGACACATGGTCTCCCAGCAGTCCGTCATTCAGTCTGCAGGTGTCAGTGTTTTGGACAATGAGGCCCCATTGTCACTTATTGACTCCTCAGCTCTAAATGCTGAAATTAAGTCTTGTCATGACAAGTCTGGAATTCCTGATGAGGTTTTACAAAGTATTTTGGATCAATACTCCAACAAATCAGAAAGCCAGAAAGAAGATCCTTTCAACATAACGGAACCACGAGTGGATTTACACACCTCAGGAGAACACTCAGAACTGGTTCAAGAGGAAAATTTGAGCCCGGGCACCCAAACGCCTTCAAATGATAAGGCGACCATGTTGCAAGAATACTCCAAATACCTCCAACAGGCTTTTGAAAAATCCACTAATGCAGGTTTTACTCTTGGACACGGTTTCCAGTTTGTCAGTTTGTCCTCACCTCTCCACAACCACACTTTATTTCCAGAAAAACAGATATACACTACATCTCCTTTGGAGTGTGGTTTCGGCCAATCTGTTACCTCAGTGTTGCCATCTTCATTGCCAAAGCCTCCTTTTGGGATGTTGTTTGGATCTCAGCCAGGTCTTTATTTATCTGCTTTGGATGCTACACATCAGCAGTTGACACCTTCCCAGGAGCTGGATGATCTGATAGAGTCTCAGAAGAATTTAGAGACTTCGTCAGCCTTCCAGTCCTCATCTCAGAAATTGACTAGCCAGAAGGAACAACAGAAAAACTTAGAGTCCTCAACAAGCTTTCAGATTCCATCTCAGGAGTTAGCTAGCCAGATAGATCCTCAGAAAGACATAGAGCCTAGAACAACATACCAGATTGAGAACTTTGCACAGGCATTTGGTTCTCAGTTTAAGTCGGGCAGCAGGGTGCCAATGACCTTTATCACTAACTCTAATGGAGAAGTGGACCATAGAGTAAGGACTTCAGTGTCAGATTTCTCAGGGTATACAAATATGATGTCTGATGTAAGTGAGCCATGTAGTACAAGAGTAAAGACACCCACCAGCCAGAGTTACAGGTAAGGTCCCAAAAGTGATCAGGCTGGAGGTCTTCTAATGTAATTTTGTTTTATTTTGAGAACACTGCCATTGGAATGTTTCTACACGATCCTATTAAGAATAATGTAATGCCCTTTCAATGCAACTTTTCATATTTAGTTTATTTTGTTAGCGTGATTTTAGCTCTGTTTGTATTATGATTTTTAATCAAAATCAATAGATTAAAAATAGTTTGACATTCAAAGTGACAACGTTTAGCAATCAAATTTACGTGTATAGATCGTCAGGGAATAGCCCAAAAGTTAAATGCAAAAAAAAAAACAAAACAAAAAAACCCTACAAAAAAACAAAACAAAGAAAACACACAAAAAAAACTTTGTTGCTAGGATTAAGGTTATTCTAATTGCTTTACTCTCAGGAAAGTGTAATAACGCATGGGAATTCTGTACGTTATCGCTGTAATGGAATATCCAATTTACAGATAGTATGATATACATTTCATCATTTAAGTAAGGGATCGAAAACATTTCAAATTGCTGTCTCCACCTGGGCTGATCCAAAATTCTGAGATGTTGGCTACCTATATTTTGTTGCAGCTTTTAAGTGTACTCTGAACTTCCAGACCAATTCATTCCAGCCTGGTAGAACAAATGTTCTTGGATCTTTGATCAAAGCCTGGAATGATAGCTTTAATAAAAGAAGAAGAAGAAAAAAGCACCCTCTCCTTGTCCCAACTGTAACAAGGCTGTACTTCCATTAAGATCTGCTGACATCTAGCATAGTGTTGAAACCCAAGTGGTTGGTTGGTTTCAGTATTGGAACCCAGGTTGGAATTACATGATTCTTTGAAATTTGGGGTATGTGGTATTTATTATACATGGCCTAAAAACATTGTTCTCTTGTCTGTGCTTTTACATATCGCCCACACTTCTGCTTTTTTTTGTTCTTATTCTTAACCTGTCCTCTTTCTTCGAGTTTTGGGCCTTCCTTGTTCCCTCTTCTCCATATCTTGACAGTTTCAATTTTAGAATGATTTACATTCCAGTAGATAATTCATTATGCATTTTATATGCCTTATGGCATCGAAATACTAAACAATAGGATAAACATCCCCTCTACCTTTTTTAAAAACAAAACTCATACATATTTCCATGTATAATAAAACCCCACGTACTCAGAGCTATAGATATTAATAAGGTGGTAATTCCAACTGCTGACATAGCTAGTGTGAGGGATCAGAGTGTGTCTGTATTTAGTAATGACATCAGAACCTCTTTGTGAAATGGCAGCCTTTAATGTACATTTTAAAAGGGTGCATTAGTCAGTATTGTACAGGGGTCTTGTAAAGTCATCAAAACTTGCTATGAACGCTAATTGCCGTTTGAAGCTACTGGTAGACAGTGGCTCTGCTCTAAACCACTTTTTAGCAATTGTATTTTTTTCCTGATTATATTTTTTAATGTACTTTGATGTTTATGCTGATGAGTTTTTTATGTACTTTTGGTGATGTTTCAGTCTTATGTACTCTTCTGACGTCAGAAAAGTACCACTGGTTGTTTGCAGTCTTATTGTGTAATCAGCCTACCACAGGCTTCCATGTATAATAAAGTAATTAATATTGTGCAAGTGTAAAACACTTCTGTTATGAAAGCAGTGTTTGGAAAATAAGAAATTATTAAAAATGGTTACAAAATACTAGTTAATTTCCTCTCCCCGCTTTCCCCCCTTAAGTCTGCTATACTAGCTGAAGGGTCACCTATTTGTCATTGCAGGATTCTTAGAAAATGTGTTTAATCCTCCTAAATACATTCAGTACTAAAAAGTCTGTATTTCTTACTTTGGTAAGTCCGGTAAGTTCTGTTTGGTACAGAGTACAAGCTGTAATCAAAGGATGAAGAGGACCTTTACCACTGTATCTCTTCAGCTGTATGATTTTTCTCCAGTGTTTTGTTTTCTACAGGTTTTGAATTTCTTTAACTTTTATTGTGTGTACTGAATACTGCATATGTATTATTCTGATTGTTTGCTCTAGTTTACTACCAATAAAAGACCTGTTAATCACAAAATTGAAGAAAGGAGGTATCACTTAATATCCAGTCACATTTTACAGATTTTTCTATTAACTACATTTCATAAACTATTCACATCAGTGGTATAACCTGCAGTTTAGGGACTTGTATTTTTATTGTATTTTTTTTTAACTTAAGTATTTCATGTTTCTAGGTTTATTTTATTTGAAAATTGGTTGAATATTTGTGTTTGAGGCACATTATATCAAGGAATAGAAATTTAATATGTAAATTAGAACATGTTTTATTGAAATTGGGTTAGCCATCCTAAATGTTATTCCAGAGAGATTATTTCTTGAGGCTTCATTTTAAATCAGATTCCAGTGTCTTTTGGTTCTAGGTGCATCCTCTTTGCCTCAAAAAGATTGTAATAAAATAACAGTATGCCACAAATAAAAATGGTCTTGAGCATTTTTAGTAGGGAAGAAGTATTGTCAAATTGTAGTTAATGTTAAAAAAGGTTAGAAGTATAGATATTAGGAGGAAAGAGCTAAGACTTGTAAATACTGAAGATGCAGAGAACATGTTTGAAATTTATTAAATATGTTAACTTTTAAAGATGAAGGAGAAAAAATTGTAGATGGCTGTGTAAAATCATGAGAAAACTGCTTTGAAATTTAGTGGCTACAAATGTTGAGGAATTAGGAGTAAAAATATTAAAGGGTAGAACAGGCCCCTTTGCTTTTTTTCATATATGATACTATTGTAGGGAAATGATAAATTATTTATATTAGGCTTAACGTGGATTTCTCTGTGGACAAATGCCTACTTGTGGGCCCATATGATCAGGAAAACTAAATTAGTTTTTTCTTTGCCAAGGTTATTCCCTGGCAAAGGGAATAACCCTTTGGTCATTTTGGTCGTTTGGTTATTTGATCATTTTCTTTAACAAGTGCTGAGCAGAATCTCACCGATTCTGTGTTGAAACCCAACTCGAGCTTTGCACAGATGACTTGATTCTCTGTTCTAGATTAACCCTGTCATTTTTTTTTTTACACACCCACTCCTTTTTTTCCCTTCTGTAGAATGTCTATACCTAAATATGATCATTTTAAGATTAAGGTTTTTACTTTGAAGGTGTTCAAGTATGAAGTAGGAAACTGGAAACTGCATTACATTTCTGTTGTGCTGCTGTCAATTCGGGGTAAGGACCATCATAATTTAGCAGTTGCTGGTCAATAATTTGTGAGGTAATTCATTAATGAGAAGAGGAAAATGTGAAAAAAATCTGTACTTAAAATCTTTAATGTTTTTTGAAAATTGCAAACAGTAATACAAATATTTCTACCTCAAATTTAGTTTTTTGTATTAGATTGACCAGATGAGAGAGGCAAACTTTTCGTTCATTCCTGGTGTCTGGCGTTTTGTAGTTATTTGCCGTTAGTAGCATTTAGACCTGAACTGGGTGACAGTTTGAGCAATGTGACCTCTCGAGGACACACATAATCCTTAGCTTCCAGATTCATAGGTTCTTGTTAAACTGAAGAACTTCCCTCAAAAGAAATTAGCTTCTGAACTTCAAAGTCATAGTTTTAGGGTAAACTACATCCGAAGACTGTCATTTTTCTGAGTTTTATGGTCTTCGGGTCTTCTTTGATACTTAGTGACAGGATCTCATTTTAAAAATGTGATGCAAGACTCCTTTATTAGTGCTCTGATAGGATCCGTGTCTCATGCTACATGAGGTTATGTCAGCAATGGTCCATGCACACTTCTGTTATGGGATCTCTCCTGGTGCTCAAGAGAAGAGAGCTGTGGTGGTGTGCCAGTCTGCTCGTACCCTCTGTGAGATAATGAAGTGTTCCTGATAGATTTTGAGGAAAAATGTTGTGTTCCGGTTGTTACATTTTTCATGTCCTTGTAATTTATTAGTTAAAATGAACATGAGCATGAAGATAGCATCTGGGAATTCTGTCTTACCCTGGATCAAAAAAATCTAAAAAAAATCCTCTGTGAGATTATAGTTAGTTTTAAAAGAGATTACCACCATAAAGAGGTCTTACACTTAAAATTCTGCTTTCTTTGTACCTGTATTGCTTTTAAAAAAGTGTTGACTGTGTGTGACTAACTTAAGTAGATTTTATTTAAATTCTTGATGAACTTTTGGCTCTAGTGAAGAACTGCATAGCATTTTTATGGTCCCAGACTCTGGGCAGCTGATCATAGAATTGGTATCTCCCTACTCCCATACATTAACAGGTATATATTTGCACCTGAAAATTTACAAGCCACTCTATATGCTCATGAGAATCCTTCCCCAGTAAAAAATTCTTAACCTATGGACCCCAGGTTAAGAATCCCTGCCTTAGAAGACTGCCTAAATATTGAACTTTTGTTGTACAAATGAATTAGGCAATACCTAAACTAGAAAAGCATCAACTATTAGGGTATTTTAAAATTTCTTTATCTGCAATTTAATTAGCATTTATGGAATATGTTTAGGTTACATAAACCCATAGAGTTTTATGGTAAGCTGGTTAAATAGCGAGTTGAATAGAGTTTAGAATTCTTTGCAGTTTCTTATCTGATAAGTACCGTAGAGATGCTAGACTTGACAGTAGTTTTTCAGTATTTTCCTCGAACAAAGAAATGTGTGAACAGTGTATAATAACTACGGTCAACCACTATAGTTCTTTGGTTGCACAGAAGTAGCTTCCCACATAAGTATATTGGCAAAAATGAAAGCCCACAACCAACCCACACCTTTTTACCTGGAAGGAATAATGCTGAGTTCTTAATAATGTGAAGACTATACTTCGTACAGCCAGAGTGTGACTAGCTAGGTTGAAACATACTGTGCAAGATAAGCCTTGTAAAGCATGTTGTATGTTGAAATAGGTATCTCTCGGGAAATGTAGACAAATAGCTGGAGGAAAATGTAATGATTTGGACCTTATACTCCAAAGGGGAAAATTTGTTCCCTTTGTTTGTAGGGAATAAAAGAAGAATGGGCAGAGGTTGTTGTTAAGGGAGGTAAAGGATATCTTAGAATGGAGAAGAAAAGGAACAGGTTTTGAAGGAAAATAGGAAATACAAATTGACTCCAATATTGACAGGAGTCCCTGGAGAATGGAAGTAACTAGAGGAGTAAAGGATATCTTTGATTGGAAAACTGTGTTCTTGTTTTGTCATTTTTTCAGTTCAGACTTTTTCTGGTGTTTTGGTTTGACGGGAACTTTAGTCCTATTGTGGAACAATTAATAAATAACTCTTACCAGACAACTGTGGTGAACTTCTGTTTACATTCCCAATCGAGGAAGAAGATGGCTAATCTTTTTGTTTATATA